AAAATTAAGAAGCGATTTTCGAGATATTAGTAGTCAAAGTGAAAATATATTGAAGATTTAGAAATTAACAGGTTCTTAGAAGACATCGAGTCAAATACGTCATTGAAAATGTTTTAGATATGAACTAAGGACTGGAAAAACTACATACGTGAACATGTTAGCGACTAACTTCCTCTGAAAAATGCAAAGTATTAAAAAGGGAATGCACCACCAGCAGTTTTCACTGTAGCACTTAAATGTCAAAAGAGTTGTTCGGACACAGACTTGTTGCATTAGTTATTCATTACCAGGAAGTATTTCTTATTCTTTCTGCCAGACTTGTCCAGTTTGTTTGTCTCCTCTGCTTTGATTTACAAAATCTATACGAAATTAGCGGGTGATGTGGATTTCCGAGGTGTGTGCACATTTGAAATTGTATCTTGACGTATGAGTGCTTTGGTCATTTGTTGTGTTTTTAATCCCGATTTCCCATCTATTTTGCCGAATAGTAATTTTACAGGCTTTATTTTCATGTTAACAGGTTAAATTTGATTCCTACAATTGTTACTGTGTTATAACAATATGCTTGAATTCCATTTGTCATCCAACCTCAATTTTAATTTTTCTAAATTTTGGTCTGACTATTCTTACAATTTTTTGAAACCGTATTGGGGTTCTCAGTTTTGGATTAGTGATGAGTGGTAGTAGACTTTAATAATAAAAGCTACACACAACTGTGCAAATATCTGCAGTATGTTTTGCCGTAGGGATTGAATTCTTTGAAATCATTGATTCTTTGAGCAGATATCTTTATTTTTAAGGAGGAGTGTTGACGCTTTGGCCACCCTATATGAGCATTTGCATTCCATATGTGTAAGGTTGGTAGTATTTATCTGTAACCTACTTCGTAAAATCAAACTGGTCATGAATCATCTCGCTTACCATAGGTTATCATTGATTATGACGCATAATAAATATAGTGAGATCTCTTTTTGTAGCATATTTGTTTCATTAATAAGTTTCTGATGAGCAGTAGTGTATTCTGTGGTTCGTGCGGATAAGACGACAGCTGTTTCAGATAAACGAATATATATGACCGAATTTTCAAATAAAAGTCCGAACTCAGTAGTTGCATGGGGCCCGTTTGATACTGAAATTATTACCCAAATAACGGCAGAATTACTGCAAAGGCAGTTTTAAGTTGACGTCAGTAGTTCAATATGTATGCGTCCTCATTTGTTCTTAATCAATTTGTGATCCATTTAGTGTAAGAGTGTACGTCTCTCTCTTTTGCTCACTCTATATTTTAGAAGTGAGACATAATTTATTTTCCAATGGTTATGTTTAAATATACTTTCGCTCACTGTGATAGGTTCATTACGGCAGTCTAGTGTCTGAGTCGGTGGCACAGTGGTTAGGACTCTCGCCAATCATGCACATTGTCCAGGGTTCGAGCCCACGCCGGTGCACACCTGATATCTACGGTCGGCCTGCAAAATTTGGGCTACCGATATCCATTCTGAAAATTCCATACTTGTACCAAAAATACGGTGTGGAATCAAGCTGTAATCAAAAACAAAATAAATAATAAATTAATGTAGCTTGTAGAGTGATATAACTAGGCCTCAACTGTACGTGGTTTTGTAAAGTTTACAAATTTCACCTGATTGCTCGGGTTGCAAGTGTTGGCCACCGAATTGAGAGATACTATATAAGTAACTGATCGAATCCTTGAAATCGTTTCAAATTCTCCAACTTTAATTAGAATACTGAGACAAATTTTGCTGCAGTAGGTTCAATCTGTGATGAGAATTCTGATATTAAGGGCAATATAAATGCCACAAAACAACAAAAATCAGCGAAGTTATTGTGTATCCGTATCAGTTTCATACAGTATCCTTTGATGCGATCTGACAATTTAATTGGCCATTGTGAGTAGTCGCTTCCTCCCCTACCAATAAGCTGTTTGGTGTAATTATCTCAGCTTTCTCCAGGCACCAAGTAATATTATATCGCACTCAACAGGTCCACTGTCTTTTTCAGTAAAATTTAGTGTAAATGGAAGTGATGAAGGTACTTAGAAAATACTAGGAATCAAACAGTTTACGGGGTTGATTGTCACACAAAATTATGTTTTTTGAAACGATCAACGGACACGAAGTCACCACAAGACTTCGACCAGTAGAAGATTGATGTCAGTAGAATAGTAGAGTTTTGGCAAATGATCGGACCTGTCGAGTGGTTTTTGAAACTTCGAATAATATGCACTATTAGGCCAAGTGAGAGACCGTAATTGTGAAGGATTGCAACTAACATTTTTTCTCTAACTACTTTTTCTATAAATGCTTATGATGGTAACCCATTAGGTTCCTTTGTTTTATGCCTTCACGTTACATGTGGCTTTCTCGACATTGGCCTGAGTTGGAAGCTGTATGTCGGTGTTCTGATCGGGCTTAAGCAACTTAAGAAAGGCATGAGACTAACGGTGGTGTTCATCAGTGTTCTAGTAGTTACATTCACCCCTATGTTTTGCGGATTGGTAACCTGTCCTCAGCTTTTGTCTCATTATCCATCAGCGTTTCCGGACGGTCTTCTTTGTATTATAAATATCTTAGAGTCATTCTAAGTTTTTCAATCTTTCTTATTTACAGGTTTTTTCATATGGTATTCTTTTATTTTCAAACATTGTAAACTAATATGATTGCTTTTAAAATTATTAGGTATCTCATTGGATGTTTCATTTACCCCCTTTTGAACTACATTCCACGGTCATAATGAATTTTGCGTCATCCTTAATCTTGCTCTACATACAACAATAAACTGACTGATGTATGATTTATTGCCCTGATTTTACGCTTGATTTCATGGATTTTTTTCATGATAAAGTCAATTCATGCATTAATTTCCCTTCGAAAGGAAGGAGTTGCTGATTCATGTATGTGAAAGTGTAATTATATGTTTATTGATTGTAAATGTTGCTTTGTTTTGTTTGCATTTTTTCATTTGTTAAGTGGCAACGTGAAAGTGTGCTAGGTAGTCTAATGAAAACATGATCCTAACATTTTAAAATAACGATTTGATTGAAGTTAAAGTATCACAACCAAAGTCAAGGTCTTTCAAAAGTTGACCTTCAAGAATCGATCACATACAAGAAATGCTATGAAATGTCATTCCAAACCAGATCATGGCTGCCCTTTAGGACTTGGAGAGATTGGATAAAGTATTCTACTTATTTACTCGACGCTTGTTCTGCAAATCTGTACTGTTACATAGGTTTATGGCTTTTAAGATTAAGGTTTAGGGTCTAGGGTTAAAGTTAGGATTAGGAGTTAGGATTATGGTCAGAGTTAGGAGTAGGTTGAAGAATAGTGTCAGAAATATCAGTGGTTTGCAAAGTACCGTGACCTGCAGTCAACTGGATGAATGGGTATATCACGCATGGTACGATTTCTCTATAGATCGTATGTGTAGTTACGCGTCGTTGACACAGCGGTAGAATGTTCGCCAACCACGCGTGTAGTTTGGTGTTCGATGTCCGCCCATCAGACTCCTTTATCTCGCTAAGCCAGTGATAAGACTTGTGAAGAAGGAAGGTTGCACATGAGGCTAGTAACCACATCCCATAAAAATAAACATCACTGCTACCGAAACTTCACACCTCTAGCTTGAATCCGTATGTTCCACTGGGGACGTAAAGGAATAAGATAAATAAATAACATGTGTAGTGACTAGCTACTGGTATACAGTGTAATATCATGTTCTCATTGTTTTCTAGTGTATTTTTCAACGATTATATGATTTTTTTGCATGTTATTTGTGATTGGTTGTCTAAGGTGATACTAGCTATGATAGGTTAACTTTACCGCGATTTTTGTGAATCCATTTGTCTTCGCTAGAAATATCCTTAAAAGCATGTCTTCATTTTGCTCCATTGAAGTACTAATTTTCATGTTTTGAAGGCATACATACATATAACGGCTGATACAATATCAACATATCTTTTAGGTAAGGGCGAAAAGTATTTCGTTGAAAGTGTAAAGTATAAAGCAGTCCATTGTATTTAGACTGAAGTGTGATAAGGTATACAAAAATGTATTCCTGAATTCCTTTCTATTTTCATTCAGATGATATAGAAGGTACAAAGAAATTAACAATGACATACGTGTAATTTAAACTATATATAATAGTACTCAGTGAATTAAGCCTCTAGTATTCTGTACGCAATAATCGCATTGAATCGCATATTCGGGTTGCAAATAAGGACTTTGTGTGTCTGTATGCTTACATGCGTAAACTGAAAGTAGTACACGAGCATGATAAATGAGATAGTCAATGTATTTAATAACTCAGCTACATTGTGTGTGATATAAGAGTTATTTAAACTCTTTGCAAGGATATTGATACATCGTATGTTTTCATTTCATTTGTATGCTTGATTTACCTCTATGAAGTAATGCGGACATTGTAAAAAGCCGTGAATGCTTCTTGAGGGTGTGTCTAAAGCGTCTAAAATAAGTTACGGTGTGATTTATATAGGTTAAAATGGAGCATCCTTGTCCCCGCTATTCCTAGCGTTTTTCAGTCCACTTCTGACTGAAAAATGTTGGGTTTATTATCGCTATGTTTGACCCTTTCTAATGTGGATGTGAAGAAATCAGTTAACTGAGGTTTCATAATCTGTATTTTGTCTGTAGTGATCGGAATAAAAGATACCCTCGTCAGACTGCAAATTAAGGTGCACAGCTTATCGGCTTAATTCCGTATCAATCCATGTAAGTCCACTGAGAGGAGGACAACTGTCTTGATGTGTGTCGCATAACATTTGTTTATGTGGACTTGGAATTTCATTCGTCTTAGGTGCTGTTTAGGATCAGCATTTCTGCATTTTGTATTTGATTTAGTGTTCTTAATATTCCCTAGAGTTTACCTTTGTCTATTCTAAGACAAAATTGAACTTTGTGTGGACTGATTTGACCTACATATTCGGTTTTTTCCTTGTTTCTTTTTCTTTTTAGCAGGTCATGGTAATTGAGCGGTTAATGAAGAAAATAAACGTGAATCCTGTATCGAAAAAAGTTCTTAAACCTACAGCAGTGTTATCCTTGCCTAGATATCCTACACTGACGTTTGGTATACCACTTAAAGAGATTCTGGAACGTGATAAAACTGATATTCCAATTGTAGTGACTGATATCTTTAATTTCCTGCTAAATAAAGGCGGTCTACAGTCTGAAGGTATATTTCGTGTAAATGGTAATTCACGAACAGTGGAAGCCTTGCGTACACTTGTCGATGAAAATGGCACTTATTGGCATTTAAGTGAATTTTCAACTATCACTGGTGATTCAGATCGAACAGTTGATGTTTTCTCCGTTGCTAGTCTTTTAAAGTTGTATCTAAGGGAATTACCAGGGGGATTAATTCCAGAAAGTAAAACGTCCTTGTTTTTGAAGGTGAGTAATTTTATATTAGAATATTACGTACATATTTTTGCTAAACGCTAAATTCAATAATCAAAAGGATTTTATTTATATCTATCTTGCATATGGGTTATAAAGTGGTGAACATTTGTAATTATGTCACGGACTTTTTGAAATGGTTTCAATAATAATGGTTGGTATGGGACTTGGGAATCCTACCAGCTTAACTGTAGTGAAGTATTGAAGTAGGTAACCATCAGAAACTGAACTAAAAGTGTGAAATGTCTTGTATGACAAGGACTATATATATTCAAACCATAAAAGCATGGGTTATTGGATCGGGTCCCAGTGGCTTAATGGTATACGAGCTCGCCTTGTAACCAGAAGGTCCTAGGTTCGAACCCCGGTGGGTGCGTACTGCTGAAGAGTCCAAAACTCCCAGCTGGTTTTCCAGTGGTTCTCTAACTGATGTCAGCTCATGATGAAATCCTGTAACCAATCAAATCCCTACAAACCAACACTTGAAAAGCATTTTTGTCTCTAATGTAAATCATTAATGGTCAATAATATAAGAATAAAACTTGTGCACTGTGGTAGAGTGTAATTTCATTGTAGATGAATTTTTACTCTGATAAGGTCTCACAGTGTTATACAGTAATATTTACTTATTACGTTTCATAGAATCTAAACCCAACACGTGCAATAGAAATGACTCATCACGCATACCAGAAATCTAAAAACATGTTCCTACCAATTAAACCAAGAGATGAGAAAAGTTGTGTGAGTCACTTGACATGATTATAAGCAGCAATAAATTGTGCTCGAAACGTTGTCATCAGTAATTATTACTGTATAACACTGTGAGACCTTGATGGTCAAAAAAGAAAACCCTGGAGTATGTATCCTCAATGGCTTTATATTTCTCAATAGTCTAATAGAGTAGAATCAATAAATGGCTTAGACTAAAACGCGAACATATCAGGTATACAAGTATTGATAATTTTACTTCTAAAAATAATAACTATTGTTTATTTTTTGGCGCGTATACATTTATTTACCCAACATTTCATGAAAAAAGAATGTTATTTAATACCTACTTACACATACATGCAGTCAGTAATAAGATACACTTATTGTGTGTGAGGGCTGCCTTAACCTCGGCAGGTGGAGCATGATTCAAAGCTGTGCCTCATTCGTTGAAAGTCAAGTGCTTAAACCGTTGAGACTTAACTCCACCTAACTTTTCGTAAGATCTTTGAAGCATTAAACTTGATAACATCTTACGTTTGCCTAAGAATATACCACTGGCTATCATACAATGTCGCATGAATCAGACAGTTTTCGTCGTTGCAACATTTTTAGGAACTGGTTTTGATATTTAAACGTACCATATTTGTGATAAGCACCTTGTTTCCCTATACATTCAATGAATAACAAGGGGGCAGTCAGTGGAGGTTTGTCTTCATTCAGATTCTGGATATTATCCTATATCAGTTTAGCTATCAGATCGTAAGAAAATCTGACCATATCTAAAACGTGATCATAGCAGTAGGCATGTTGTAACAGTGGGTAACATTATTTTTGTTATGTTCATTTTTTTCGAATTACTGGAGTTCACGGATTTCCTGTTGTTTGTTATTACTGAACCTAACATATTCTGCCTTTGTTGGCTTATGAACCTCATAGAACGAATATTCCGATAAAACCTTTTATTCCAACATCATCCTTTTTCTTGGATATCAGTAATTGACAATCAATACTCGTTGTTACACAACGGGGAATTTCGTAGTTCAGTATGTAGCCTAGTGGGTTATAGCTTTGACCTTAAGCATCTAGTCTATACAGGTATACCATCATTTGCTGGAACCCCCGTTACACCTTTAATTGACTACTCTCTAACAGGATAATAAAGCGTTTGTTCTCCACTCTGCTACTAGCCACCATGTTTCAAAAATGCTCACCTCTTGTCATTCCGTGAATCTTAAATATTTTTATTAGTCTAGGCTTGTTTGTTCCTTGTCTGCTGGTCTCTTTTTCCTTTTGGTTTGTTTTCTCCAGTCTATTGCGTTAATCATTTTTTCCGCTTGAATTTCATAATAAAATATAAAACTTTGTTTCACTTCATGCTTGTATATTTAATTGTAATCCGTTGTCCAATTTCTCCATACATCGTGTATATAGTTTAATAAGAGTTTATATACGTCATTCTCTTCCACTGGTGTGATATCGATGTAATTAAGTTGTACACATGATCACTAAGGAATTTTGAAGGCTGTGTGTATCTATTTTTGAGTTGAATAGTTCAACTAGATGTGTATATAATTTTAAATATAGTTCAAAACTGACAGTTTATTGTTCACAATATGTGTATTTTTTTCCAAGGCTTTAAAATCTATGCCTATTCGATATTTGTACATAAAATTAATCGATCGCTTTGTTTGTTTGTTTGCTTGTTGATTCATTACTGGCGCTGACGTTATACCCGGTAAAAGAATCTTTTTTGTTTTAATTACACTATATACTGCATCACTTTTTCATTATTTACATACTAGGTTGTTATAGTAAACTAATTATCGTTGAAACATCTATATTCTCTGAAGAGGATTTGAATAATAGTTAAGGATAATAATAATAAAGCAGATTAACTTGAATATTGTCGGCGACCGTATCACGTTGAAAGCACCGGTTCTCGTCCGATCACCGAAGTTAATGTGCGTCGGTGGCAGAGCGGTTAGGACGCTCGCCGACCATGCACATGGTTCAGGGTTCGATCCCCGGCCAACGCACTCCTTTACCTCGTCAAGCCAGAAATAATTCTGGTAAAGAGAAAAGGTTGGGCTTCAGGTTAGCAACCCCATCCTGTAAAATAAACACTGCTACATAAACTTAGAGCCAATAGCTTGGAGCCCTATGTTCCACTGGGGAACGTGAAGGAAAAAAACTTGAATATTAATCTTATGCTAGCTAGTGATTGGCTACAGCACGAAGTTGTCTCGAGTTCTAGTGAGAAGTCATAACCACTGGGTCTCAGCAGGTCAGGCGTGTGGACAAGTTCTCGCCGATGACATTGGTTGGTTGGTGTTCGCACTAAAATCGCGAATCGGTAAAGGTTAGAATTCATAGATCATTGAAATGAGTCCCAATGGGTGAATGGTCTGTGAGCTTCCCTTGTAAACGGAAGGTTCTGGGTTCGAAACCCAATGGGTGTGTACTGCTGGAGAATCCCCAGACCAGGACGAAGTTCTCTAACTTACAGCAATCTGTGATCAAACTTGAAAGAAATCAAATGCCTACAAACTGCTTCCTGGAAATAATAATATTAATAATAATGACAAAGAGATTTCAATTATGATCTCTGTTAGTTGAAACAGTGATCTAATACAGATGATTGTTCATAGGACGTATATTACGTATAGTAGAATCGTTAATTTAGAAAAAAATGGTTGACAAACCAAGCAGTAAGTAATAGTTTTGAGCAGGTTAGTTGGAAATAGCTTCTAACGTTGATTATCATTAAAATAAATATGTGTGTATATCATGGAAATTTTCTTACTCATAACTCTAAATGAAGATTTTCCTTAAATGTATTCACTGATTGAATTTTACTGTAGAATGCGAGTACTGATACATTGACTGAATTATGTCGTCTAAAAGGGGATGAAAATAATTACTTTACAAGGCTAGCCTAGTGATCAGTCAGCGTTGTAACTTAATGACTCTAGGTTCGATCCCTTGGGGGGGGGAAGAGCTCGTGAGTGCATTCTGCTTAAGAGTCCCATGCTTGCACGAAACAACTATTCAGTGGTTTGCTAAATGATGTCGGTTTGTAACAAAATCTACAGTGGAACTCTTATTTGAGCGAAGTTAGAATATCTTAGCCAAAATTAAGGTCTGAAAAAAGTTGACCTTAAAGAACCAATCATATTTAGGGAAGCCTACGAAATACCATTCCATATGACATAATGCTTATCCTTATGGGTTTAGTGAGAGTACGTACAGTATTCTACCTATTCCCGGTGCACTTTTTTCTCTAAATCTATGCTGTTCGCTAGGATTAGGGATATGTGTTAGTGTTAAGGTCACTGTTAAGGGTAGTTCAAACAATAGAGTCAGGAGTATCAGTCGATCTCGCAGTGTGTCGTGTTCCACAGTCATCTAGATGAATACATATTATGATTTCTGTATACAGTATCCTTGGAATAATGCATGTACATGACAATTATCCACTGTAATATCATATTTGTAATAAAAAAGAACGATCATGCAACCTTCTTGATTTGGTTGTTCAAAGCTACACTGTGATTTTCGCCCTCGAATTTGTTTTGCATGCTTATTTATTAGGTTACCTTCAAGTGTGTAGAATCTTTTATCTTGCATAAAAAAAACTAACCATTTTAAATTATCTAATTACCTAAAAAAGAAAAGGAATCTCAGTAGTTTTTTTTAAAGCGTTTTATTTTTTTTTCTATTTTGATTGAATTAACTCAGTGAAATTACGCATGTTTTATCTTTGTTTTTCATTCTTCTTTGGAAAATTTGGCTTTTGTACTTCTATTTGCATTGAGTCAATTTAGTGCAATACCGAATCAAATGTAAATGCGCAGATATTGTAGGTGTGTATATAATACGCTGTTATGATGCCAAAGTAATCATTCCACCAACAATGCCTAACAATTATCCAATATTAAACTGTGATAAAGTTGCCAAAAATTCAGATACTGATCAAAATAGGTTGTGAAGTGAGAATCTATTGTGTAATTGTAGCCCTATTATTGAGTGTAATTAAAATTTAAAAAGAAGTGATAAGTTGTGACCAGTAGATAGCAGCAGGTCGGGTGTGAGGAAAAATACTCGCCGAAGACATTGGCTAGGGATCGCGCTATGTGTTGTGAATCGGCAGAAGTTAGAATTCATGGGCTGGCCACTGGATCGGGTCCCAGCGGCTTAATGGTATACGAGCTCGCTAGCATTGTAACCAGGTCTTGGGTTCGAGCCCCGGTGGGTGCGTACTGATGAAGAGTCTCTAAATAGGA